CTCCCCTGGGCTGGAGGATACAAGGTGGCCTGGGCAGGGCCAATGTCCCTGGGCGGCTCCAACACGGCCCATCTGCAGTGCGGACTGCCGAGGCCCAGGCTCTGCCACAGCTCAGCTCGAAGCTGCCCGGGGCAGCTGGCCCCAGGCACTGCAGCCCCACACAGGCATCCTTCAGGAAAGCCCAGTTTCTCCCCACACTCGGAGCAGCAGACGCTGCTGCTGCAACACCGCAGACAGATAGGGGACACACCGCAAACCAAGCTCTCCATCAAAAGGTACTCTGAAAACAGACGGCTGTCCCTCCAGCAGGCTTTGTGTGGCGGGCGAAGCCCAAGTGGAGCCTCCGGCTGGCCCTGTACAACGCAGCTCCTGTGTACGATGCCCTTGCCCCCTCCTTCTGCCAACAGTCTGGGTTTCCTCTTACTTTGATCTCAAAGGCCCTTCTATCGTTTTTTATTTTATTTTACTTTTTCCGTCTGCTGCCTGCCTGCTCCACTCAGTTTTGCACCGGGGCTGGATGCAGGGGGAAGATCAGCTGCAGAAATATTGGTCTGGTTCTGTTTAAAATCCTCCATGTGCCGCAGCTGGCAAGCGGCTGCTCCTGTTCTAACCAGATGCGAGTGGACATAACATCTTAATCATAAGTAATTAAATAGCTGGTTCTGCTCCCCGAGCAACAGCTGTCAGGCAAAGCCAACTGCTCACTGCAGAAATGCGGATGCTTCATGCCCTGGACAAACCGACATGCAAACATTCCAAATCGGGGGACGTCCAGGCCCTGTGACCGTGCACTGCCACGTTTCCCAGACTGTGCTGTCACTATCCATTGGGAACATCGCTTCATCCTGCTTTTTTGTGCAAATCAGGCCCAAATCAGGCTTAGTTATCCCAGTGGATCTACCACAAGGAGCAGAATAAAGTCATGTGGCCAGAGGGGAGAAGTGCTCCTTCTTGCAGGAACAGTGACCGGGCGCCGCAGGCTGCAGGATGCTCAGCATCCTCCTCAGCACGGCCCGGACAGCGGTCCCGCTCGGCCAGGCCCCCTGTAGTTTGCCCTTCACTCACCAGCAAACAGCCTCAATCACAGTGTGTCTCCCCTCACACTCACAACAGCACAGCTCACAACCTGCGCCGCATCCTTTGGTCCAGACCAAAAAATAAGCACTTTATTTTAGCACCAAGCTCCCTGCGAGAGCTCCTGTCCTGCTGCTGCCTCCTTCAGCTCAGCCCCAATGAGCAGCTGGGCTAACACCACGTGTTTGGGATTTGCCTTCTTTCCTCAGTTGCCCTGCTCTACTCTGCTCCTCGCTGGGCCCGGCACGGCCCTGCACCAATGACTGCCGGGGTGACAGGAACTCCGTCACCCTCGGACCTGCAGAAAGCAGTGGTGGCCGCAGACACACACCACGTGCGGAGGTAGCCTTGCTGCTGGGCCGTGCGGGGGGCTGGCGGTGATGGGGGCAGCCCCTGCCTCTCCTGCAGAGAACGTCAGAGGCAGCCAGGCAGCCCCATAGGACCAAAGGCCTTCAGGGAAGTGTCACCTGGCACATGGGCATGAGCAAAGCTCAAAAAGGAGGTGGCTTTGAGCCTAATGGTCATCCTGGGGATGACGATAGCACATGCGGTGGCCAGCATGGACTGGCAGAGCTGCGTGTGGCTGGGAGAGATGTTGTACAGGAGCTGAGTGAAGAGGAGCAGAGGCCAAAATTACAGGTTGGATGGCCAAGGTGGCGTGAGGGAGAGCCAAGGTGGCACGGTGGAGACTCTCATAACCACGAGACCTCATCTGCAGGTGCCTCACGCCTTCCGCCAGGCTCCGTCTTGCCCAGGTTGCGCTGGATGGTGCCCGCGCCAGCCCCTTGCTTTGGGGGACAGCTGCAGCACATGCCCGTCTGAGCCGTGCCCAGAGGGCAAGGGCAGGATGACGACAGCTCTGGGAGGGGACATCCCTTCCCTTGGGGCCGTGCGCGCTCACACCTGGCAGACATCTCCCTCTGGGCCCGGGCATCCCTGGCAGCCACGTGCTGCCCAGGGCTCTGCATGGACAGGCCGTGAGGCGGCCACCTGCCCCGGAGGTTCTCCCTGCTGGGAGATCTGCTCAAAGCACCAGAGCTGCCCCTTCCCCGGCAGCGGGTGGCCGCGGTCACACACAGCCTACACGTTCCGGCTGGCCCTTTTGTCCCAATGGCAACACCTGAGGGCGGCTGAGCCCTGCTCTGACTCCTGCTCAGAACCTACCCCCGACCCGGAGGCCAAGAAACGCAAGCCGGACGAGCCCCCTGCACTCAGCGCCGCACAAGTAACCAGTGAGAGCCAAATATATCCTATAGAAATATATATATATACACACACATATATACAGTGAGGAACCCTCTCTGTGTCTGTCTCCGGCCTCTGCACGTGAGCTGGCGTGGTGGGGCCGGGGCCATGCCCAGGGCCCCCTCCCGGCTCTGTGGCCATGCGCCGGCCCCGCCCCCGCGCCGGCGGCAAGGGAGGTGGCAGCGCTGTACTCACCATATGGAGCCTCCATCTTAGCGCTTAGCTGGGTGCTTACATTGACCATGTCTCGCCGGCTCCCGCTATGGGGGCTTGGGGTGAGAAGCGAAAGAAGTGTAATAATAATAATAATAAAAATAAAAATAAAAAAGAACAAATGTCTATCACTAAGGAAGTAGGTGAAGGCAGGAGGGAGTGCAGAGAGGCAGGGGGAGGGAAAAGGAAGGAACCCTGCCTCTCCTGTTATCTTATTGATTCGCTTAATCAGGGCTAATGTGGGTGGAGATGTTAAATAGTAACCAAGCTCTTATGGAAACCAATCTGCAAGGTGCTGGTGCTGTAGCTATAGTAACTGCTGCCAAGCTAGAAACTCAAACATGGCTTTTCCCATCCCGTTTTGGGGCTCCTCTTTGCAGCTGGTGTCAAGGCCAGGGCAGCCAGGGCCAGGCTGGGCCGGGGGTTGTTCCTCACTGGGCGGCAGAGCGAAGCGGAGGCGAGTGCCGGGGCATGGGAGGGCACGGGAAGCGCCCGCCTTCGAAGCAGCCAAGACGCAGCCCGTTTTATTGCCACCCTTGGCCAGCAGTGGGAAAACAAGGGCTGTGCCTGCCCGCCACACACGAGGCTGCTCCCGCGGCCTGTGGGACAGATGCGCCACACGACCGCGGTGCCAGGGACAGCGTGCGCGGTGGCAGCGTGCCGGCACGTGCATGCACGGGCTGCCGGTAATTGAAGCAAGCCCCAATAGGGGAAGGTCCCCATGTGCTGCCCCAGCAGCGTCTCCTTTACGGATGTCACAGCCCATGGCCTTGGGGAGGCTGGGCACGTCCCAGGCCCCGGGGCTGCTCTTCCTGCCGCCAGGCGCGCAGTGAGTCCCCGGGGCTCCTAGAGCATCCCGGCTCTGGCATGCACTGCCCCGGGGGTGCAATTAGAGCCATCGTGCAGCAAAGTTTCCCAGACGCAAAGCAAATCCTGAGGGAGGGCACAGGCGAGCAGGCAGGCAGCAGGATGAGCCACCTGGTCCCCGAGGCCGCGGGAATGGGCAGGCAGAGGCCTGACCAGAAGGACCTGGGGATTTGGAGCAGGGCAGGTGGTGAAATCCTCTGGGTATCAGGAAGGTGGTGAGTAAGGGGGATGTGGAGCTGGGGAGGTAACAGTGGAGATGTTCCCCATCCATGGCCAGGGCTGAGGCAAAGGATGGAGGGGGTACAGAGCAGGCTCCCTGTGGCGCTGCCATTGGAACTGCTCTGACTGGCTCTCAGCTCTCTCCTTGCTCAAGCAGAGAGCACTGATTGCACTGGGGAGCTGCTGGAGCCCCTCACACTCGTGCACTGTTGAGCTCGGCTAGGCTTTGTGTGCAGAATGGCTCACTGCAGGGGGATGAGCTTTGGAAGCCCCTGGTTTCCCTGGCATCGCTGCACGATGTTTCTCACACGTAGGCGCTCTGCACGTGTCCAAACTCGAGCCCTTCTAACGGATTTTGTGCAGGGAAGAGCTCCAGCATGGCCCAGGCTCACACCAGGGACTGCTGCGCCTGAGGGTGTTTTTCTGCATGAAATCACCAGCGAGACCCATTCCCCCTGCAGAGCAGCTCTGGCGGGCGTACCGGCACTGCTGCCATCCCCCTACACTATGGAGCAAAGAGCCTGGGCTTGTCCTCATGGTGGGCACCCACCAGCGCTGCCCAGGGCTCCCCACAGCTGCCCTCTGCACCCCTCTGTGATCGGAGCTGCAGAGCCGCCACCGGGACAAGATGCAGCTGGTCGCATGGGCAAGGACCCATTCCGGGCACTGCTGCTAAGGCTACGCACCCCGTTATCCATCCCACCACTGCTCAGCGCCCTGGCACCCTTGGCAAGGCTTGGCGCCGAGAAGTGCAGCCAATGCTCCATGTTGCAAAGGAGGTGACGTGACACAAGGATCCACGTGAACTGGGAGAGTCTGGAGACGTCTTTATTGGGGTGCTGGGAGCCAGAGGCTGGAGGCAGTGCCATGGGGCACCCCAGGCTCCTTTCTCCACCTGCCACTCCCCCTGGCAGCCTCCACAACAGGGAAGTCTTGGAGTTCATTTACAGGAGCCTTCTCCCTACGCACCCCACAGAGCACGGGGGAAAGCTGGAGCAGGGCAGAGGCTGCCAGGCACCAGCCCCTGGGCACCTGGCACATCCCAGCACCCATCCTGCCTCCTGTCCTCCCCATCGGAAGCAGCTGGACAATGCAAGTGCTCCCTGGGGAGGCACATGAGAGAGAGGAGACACAAAGTGACAGCAGGGCCACGGCCTACACGGTGTGGGGAGAAGCAGGAGCCCCAACCACGGGGCATGCAGAGCCCTTGCTGCGTACAGCCTCCTGCGCAGCCAGGAGGGGGTGGGAGGAAGAAATAAAGCAGCCTGGAGGCACTGGGGTTATAAATAATGCTGCTTTTACACAATCCTTGTCCCCGGGGATTGCTTCACTCTGCACTGCCCTCAGGCCCTGGCGCTGCCACGGAGCTGCCTCTCACCCTAGAACCAGCTCACTTGGTTGGATTTGAGTCCCGTGAAGCACATGTTGTTGCTGCAGACACCGCCGTAGCTGGGCGGGCAGGCGGAGCATGGCCTGCCCACCTTGTAGGGCGCTTCTCCCATCCAGTTGCCCCTGGAAAAGAGAGGAAGCCCCTGAGCCGGGCCGCGTGCCCCACAGGGGATGGGGCCAGCCGCAGGGCCAGCCCATGGCGGGGGCATGGGCGCTCAACTCACTTGCCAGCGT